CGCCCACGTGTGCACACCCCCAGTGTACCTGCGCTCACATGTATGCACACCCCCAGTGTACCTGCGCCCACGTGTGCACACCCCCAGTGTACCTGTGCTCTGTTGTATCTGTACCTCTGGTGTACACATAATTTAAAGTAGAATGAATCTTTTTAAAAGCCTAGTGTGGTGGCGCACCTCTAATCCAAGCTCTTAGGACAGGGGCAGGGGAGCTCTCTATGAACTGAAGGTCGGTCTGGTCTGCATAGTGAGTCCCAGGTTAGCCAGGGCTACACAGTGCGACCCCGGGAGAAAAAGAAAGAAATTGAATTGGTGTGGATGCAAGAAAGGGGGAGATGTGGGGTGTCTCACAGTCCTGTCTGCTAAAGCCAGCTTCAGTCGGGGAGATTGTGGGGTGTCTCACAGTCCTGTCTGCTAAAGCCAGCTTCAGTCGGGGAGAGATGGCCAGGAAAGATCATCAGGGTCCACAGGAGCTCCAGGAGAGCTGTGGGCTGACCCGGGTTCTCTATGACCTGCGAAGGCCAGCATTGAGTGACCACGGCCCCCAGATCCTTCTCTTCTTCTGACTTTCTCTATCTAGAAGCAGCTTGAGGAGATCAGCCTCGAAGAGAAGTTCAATGACTCGACATGTTTGGCTATAATATTGCATAAGTGCTCCAGATAAACAAATAGTGTACACATCTCTTACTCCACTGTGAAGGCAAGATGGATGGGCACAGCAGAGAAGAGTGGAGGGAAGGAGGAAGGAAAGGAAAGCTATGCACTGCCAAGCACATCGTTTGCTATGGTCTCCACTCAGGGAGTAGTCGAGTTTGAAAAGCACCACCCCAAATCAGCAACACCACGCAGCGGGAGTGACACACAGCTGGTATTATGGCATCTCGGAGGCCAGTGTAGGCCAGCCTGAGCCACACCACAGGACTGTCGGGGAGGAGGAGGGGGAGGAGGAGGGGGAGGAGGAGGGGGAGGCTAGCTTTTTTTGAAGTCTTCAAGTCAACTCATTTTTATTTCCCAAAATGGCATTAAAGAAAAATGGCCTCTATGTTTTAATATAGTCTAATGCCATTTAAGAAATTTCCCTCTATCTACGAAAAGCCTCCAGAGACAAATACTTTATTTCTTCATTTTTCTGATTTAGTGGCCAATTATAGTAGCAATAAACTGTGAAATCCAAGTATATGCTTATTAATTAAAATCTTTCCCTATCCTAAATCCCAAGCCTAGCCTTCAAGCCAACCCTGGAGAAATGAATCCTGGAACAGGTCTGGGGCAGTGTAGCTTTTGGGCCTGTGAGGATGTTGTGGGCACACACAGGGGTCCCCTGCAGTGAGCTGTGGCCCTCTGGCTACATACCTGTACCGAGCTCATCGGAGCATATCCTCTCCAGCTAAACTCAGGAAATACCATGGGATCAAATCCAAACCGCAAGTCTCTTCCATCAGGTCCAGTGCCATCCTCAACCTCATGCTTCATGTGATGCAAATCCGGGAAATAGTAGTTCTTTTCGGGCCTTCACAAATCACAAGGAAATGTGGACATAAGAAGTTAGGTGTGTTGGTAATCCCATGTCCTCTCCTAATAGACACTGAAGGAACGCTGCCAGCTGACTAAGCGCATTTCATAAGAACAGAGGGAGGGTGTCCACACTGCTGCTCTAAATGATTCTCTCATTCGGGAAAACGCTGGCACAGAGCACACTCAATACCCGCTCATTCCAAGCACTAAATTGAGGAAGTCATTTAGCACAAGTCATGAGGTCCTCAACATACCCTCAACTGTGTTCTGATGGTTGCCAACAGTGAAAATCAAATATCTGACTTACTATTGGCTCACTCATATTCACATATTTTACAACATCAGTAACTATGTGCCAGGCACTCTCCTAAGCATCATCATATCATACCTTATATATTAAACACACATAATTTTTACTATAGTCTTAGTGTTCTTGTGTGTGCCTGTACGTGTTTTTGTGTGTGCACAGATGAGGAGGACTTATGGAGGTCTGAGGACAACTTGCTGGGTTGGGTCTCTCCTTCCACTGTGTGGGTCCTGATGATTGAACTCGGGTGGCCGGGCTTGGCAACAGGTGCCTTTCTCCTCTGAGCCCTCTGTAGTTAATGGGTGGGTTCCTTTGACAAGCCCAATTGTGGCAGTCACAGAGAATGCTCAAAAACATCCCATGCTATGTGGCCTCCACACCCAAACTACTGTGTTCTTCAAATCAATATACATGCCAATCTGGTAAGATGGGTAAGAAGCTAATAACAATTATTGGATTTAAAGAGATAAAGATCCGCCAGTCAATGGGGATAAAAGCCATGCGACTGTACTGTGAGCACCGGGGAATGCTCGCATCCCTCAGAGGATGGACAGCAATCCAAGAGGGGGTTTGTTCCAGCAACTTAGCAATTCATCCAGAAACCCATTCTAAAGAATTAATGCAAACATGTCTAAAACAGGGAGCAACATGCCTGAACCAAGATTATAAATTAAATAAATTATAAAATATTCTATAGGCATTAGTATTTTGAGGACGTTTTAATTTTATAAGAAATGCTTATGATACATTCAATTGGAAAATTTGATTTTAAAAATTTGCATGAAAAATGTCACTGGCCCCTGACTGAGAAAGAGCACAGCCAGGTGGCCCTGACTTTCAGAATCCAAGTGTTGGAGACAACTGAGGGACGGTCACAGCCAACTGTACTCAGAACTACTCCAAAGAATGCTTTAATTAACCTGTTGATGGAGCAGGTGGAGAAGGTGCGCGAGATTTTGAAAACCTTGCCTTTCTTGGAGTTTCAGCATATGACTGAAATCCAGAGTTTAGATTTCCATTTCTCCTCCTTCCACTGAGGAAACGCTTACTGTAGGATCATCACCCAGAGACGCATGAGCACACAGTCCCCACTCCAGGTCTTCGTCCTTCTGCTTTTGTTCTTAGCACTCCTTTCCAGCTGCTTCTGTGTCAAGACTTTCCCCACCGCCTTATTCTAATACCCGACTGACTTCACTCCCTCACTCAAGGGAGACAAACTGGAACTGAATGTCACTGCTCCAGAAGCCTGGGCCTCTGTGTCTGGCGCCTCCATGCTGTGGCCTGTAGAGAGGCTCCAGCTTCCAGTGGGCACAGTGCACACTGTTTTCTTACACCTGTTTGCTTCAAGCCTGGGGACTCCAGGGTGCAGGGGCTTCGGAGCTTGGAGTTTACAGCACAGAGCTGGCGTCTATGGGCATCCAATCTCCTGTTCTAACTAGCGCGCGGTCACGTGTCTAGGCTCTAGTCATAGCAACAGCTTCATCCGCCTCCTTAGGATTGCTTCCCTCTTCTCTACCCCAGGATCAGCACAGTCAGGGAAAGGGGAGGTGGCCCCAGTAGCTTGAGAGTTTAGAGACACTTCCCCAAGACTCACCTCCGGCACTCTTTTCCCACAATGTGCTCCCGGCACTGGCATTCTCCTGAGGGCCCACTACACATGGTGGTGAGTGACCCACCAACGTCACACTGACACCCTGAAAGTCAAGAAACAGCTGGGTTACTGCCAGATGTTTTCCTCCCCTTGAGAAGACAGCTCTGATATTCTCTGCACTGATGGCTGCTTTCTTTCCTCTGCCATACCTTAAATCAGGCAGGGATGTCCCAAACAAAAATGGCCTGTCCCCTCAAAGGTCTACCTCTGATTTCAAGAAGTGTGACTATAGGCCAGCAGGTGGGTATGCTGTTGCCCAGTGGAAGGTGAGGCCAGGAGTTAAACATGGTTAAGTAGCCTGGGAAGAGGGATCAGTGGATGAAGTGCTTCCCACACAGTCATGGAAAGGAAGAGGGATCAGTGGATGGAGTACTTCCCACAGACCGGGAAAGAGTAATGTTACTAAGGGTGCAGAGACAGGAGGATCCCTGGGACCGGTTGATCAGGGATAGTCAAACTAGCAAGCTCCAGATTCAGTAGAACCGGGTGGAGATAAGTGAGGGGGTGCCTGCCATGGACCTCTGGCCTCCATGCACAGAGGCACACACATCCATGAACATGACACACACATAAAAGGAACAGCACGGCTGTAATAATGTTCATGAGGAGGCCCATGTGGAAGTCTGGAGCAGCCTCACACACTAGCGACTTCTAGAATTTCATGATTCAGTACAACTCTAAATCTCAGTATCTATCTTTTTAGACAATAGATCTGTAGCTTCCAGGTGACTAACTCTTGGTGTTAGCTAATATTGCATGGGCCCTCCCTCCCAAGTATGCATTTTGGAGTTGATCCTCCAGTGTGCTGGTAGGAGAGAAGTGGAGACAGCACTCTTGGAGGTTCACTGCAAGAATCAACTGAAGGCCTGGCCGAGTTCTCCAGAAGAGTGTCTCAGCGCCATCCCTGAAAGCCAGCCGCCGCTGGTCAAGGCAGGATCTGGCCGCCTGCGTCCTCCACCTTGCTCGAGCCCTGCCGTATGCGTTTACCTTGACAGCCGAAGTAATTGCTCTTCTCCAGAGCAAAGTATCCGTCTCCGCAGGCGTCGCAGGCATCGCCAGTCACGTGAGCTTTGCAGCTGCAGTCGCCGTCTCCCTGGAGAGCAAATGAGCCAGGTGGCAGCGTTTGAGACGTAGGACTTACCAACCTTCAGGGTGGGAAACAGGCTTAGCACACAATAGGAAGCAGTGGAGCCAGGACGGGAAAAGTATGCCCGTGGCCAGGATGACTAGTGAGGGGCTGGAACCCTCCTCCAGGAATCCCACGGTCAACCACAGCAGCATCCTCCAGTTATCACATGACAAACAGGCCCTTGTTACCTGCCCACACTCTCCAATTCCACTCACTGTCCCTGCCTCGTGGCACTGGCATTCTGTGAAGACAAAGGAGAGTGTCTGTGAGCCAGGGGGTTTCACAAGAACAGTTCCCTGCCCTAGGGACATCACATGCCTACAATATAACTCAGTGGTTGGCCTTCCCTGTGGACCTAAGCAACATCCAGCCTGCACTTCTGGGTTCTAAAATGGGATTGCTTTCTGAGGTTAGTTAGGTTAGATAGACAGGTCAATCAATAGGACCCATCTAGAGAAATGGCTGGCTTATGGCTACTCCAGCACAGAGTTTATGAAGGTTTCCAGTGCCAAGGTCATTATTGACATCTCTATAAAAATACACTCTATCCTAAGATAGTCGCTTCACTTAGACATTTTACTTAAGTGTTTTAAACTTGGTATCTGGCTTTACTAATTGTAGAAAACGAAGGTGCAGTAGTATATGCCATTGCTATAAGATGTGCATAAGTAAGCCGGAGAGAGCGGTCTATAAGAACAAAGAGCAGACAGGCATTTATCAAGTGACTGCCTTGGCAAATAACAAAATTCACATGGAAACCGTAGAGATAAGTTTTTGTGTGAAAATGACAGAAGTTCTGCCCGAATGGAGGTGGGGGACACCAAGCATCATGCAGCATGTTGAACACATCGAACAGGTCTAACGGAGCGCTCTCTTGTCGATGTGGGCACCCAGGAGACAAAAGTGAAGAGGTAACGGCAGGACAGGGCAGGGCGGTAGAGGAGACCGCGCACCTGAGCATCCGCTGGGGTTTTCTTTGGCCAGATTCCAGTATAAAGGTTTGCAGAGACTGCACGTAGGACTTGCGACATGGAGCTTGCACTGGCAATAACCCTGGAAACGAAAATCAGACTGACACTTGGCATCTCAAAATTAAGACCTGTTTCAAACGTGTGTTTTTGAGCAAAGCTTTGTCACCAAAATTAAGTTTGACCATGAAAAATAAATCAAGGAGTTCACTAAAGCACAAAGTTGCTTTAAAGAGTCTTCTGAACTTCAACAACAACAACAACAGGTTTGTTTTTATTTGTACATTTGAGTGTTTACCTGCGTGTACATATGCTCACTATGTGTGTGCCTAGTGCCCAGGGAGGCCAGAAGTAGAGGACCTGATCTCCTAAAACTGGAGTTAAGGATGGCTGTAAGTCACCACGTGGGTGCTGGGAATTAAACTTCCTCTGTAAAGTAGTGAAAGCTCTTAACTACAGAGCCATCTTTCCAGCCCCTGAACTTTTTCAGTACGCACTTACATTTCACACGGGTAACCAACAAATGTGGTTAAAAGCAGTCAGAAAATACAGAGAAGGAAAATCTGAAGATCTCTCTTGTTTAAAACATTGTGATGTCTGCAAAGATGGTTCAGTCACTAAAAATGCTTTCCTTGTAGGTGTGAGGGCCCAAGTCTGATCCCCAGAACCCACATTTTAAGAGCCAGACAGGCAGATCTTTGGGACTTACTGGCCAGAAGCTTAGCCTACTTGGTAAACTGTGAGCCAGTGAGACCTGTCTCAAAGAAGATGGTGGATGATCCCCAAGGAATGACATCCTAGGCTGCCCTCTAACCCCAAATACACACATGTGTACATGTACCCATACCTAACGTGCATACATACATATGCTTGTGTGTGCACACACAAACCGTGCCAATATCTGTTAATGCTGTTACACTGTAGACTATAAATTTATTGAAAGACTCTGGGTGTCTCACAGGGAGACAGATGCTCTGAGTGCTTTTATGAGATGTCAAATTCCTGTGTGGCTTCAGTGTTATCAAACCCCACAGTAGGACCAGCAGGACCTCCTGCCACTTGTCCTCCAGGGTCTGCTGTCCCTTCGTAGGTTGTGAGGCCACGAAGAGGGGGCAAAGTCCTAAGCGTCCTAGGAAATTGTTCAAAGCATCACAGTATGCGCTTGGAATAAAACAGAGACTGTGTGATGGTTTTGTGAGTGGCCAGCTTTATGTCACAAGTTCTTGGGCAATGATTGAGCCTGGATGGCTCTTCATGATGGTAACACCCTAACAGAAACCTCCAGGAATAGCTAACTCTGGGACTCTAGGATACAAAATCTAAATAAACCTTATTGTTTTGTTTAAAAAATGTAAACCTCACAAACTACATAGACATCTTTAAAAAGAACCATGGCCTCTTTAAGCAATGGATCTGTGTCTGACGTTAATTTCAGGAAGTTTCCACATGGTTAGTCTTGATCTTTTACATAGATCCCCCTACTTACCAAGCTGGAGTCAACGGTCCCAGCTGGGTCACAAATACTGCTGGATCCTGTATATGATTTAGAAATGTTACAAATGTCTGGCTGATGGTTTTGATACTTCAAAAAAACTTTAATTTTGCTTTTTCAAAGTGCGCCTACATTTGTTTTTGATAGCTGAGTGGCAAAGCCTGTGTGTGCCTCACACTAAGGCACCCCTGGCGGTCTTTATGATGCTTATCTGCAATGATGTCATCTGTCACTCAACAACTCTGCCCTGCTTGGGAATACACCTGCCTTCCTTTGTTTAATGTTTTCTATATTTTATTTTTAATGTATATTTTAACTTACTTTTGAAAATTACATGCAATATTTTGATCATAGTCTTTCCTCTCCACCAACTCCTCCCAGATTGCCTCCTACTTCCCTACAAAATGTCCTTTCTAAGGGAAGTTAGGAAGAACTGAAATTTTTAGCATCTTTAGAATTGTCCAGAAGAGGGCGATATTGCATTTCTTTTTTAATATTAAAAAAATTTTTTTTCTTAATTGTGCAGCAAAAGAAGTTACAGAATTCCTAAGTTCATTTTGTAACTGGGAGGTAATTATCATCAGCCCCTGTCCCCACGAGCACTAACGAGCATGAACGTTCTTGGTGACTCCTCGGGTGTGCTTGCCACCTTCGCCTGCAGAGGCTGTAGCTGAGCGCTTGCTACGTCTCGGCATCACCCTGACAGCAGGTTGGTCGAGCCTGCTTCTCAGGCTAGGTTTCGTCATTGGAACATATCCACAACTGGACCATCTGTCCTTACAAACGGCCCCTTAGCTTTTCACCTTCCTTTCTCCTTTGTTACGTTTGCCTCAGTTTCCCCCTCACTCTCTGATCCATTTTTCTCTAGCAGCTCCACACCCCACTTTCTCCTTTTGTTTTCCACACTGACCATGGCCAGCCCAGGGCTCCTCCAGGATGCCCGGGGTCACTCTCCAGCTCCAGCACATTCATGACTACTCTGCCTCTGCCACAGCACTTACAGGCCTGAGGCCTTCTGGGGACAAGCCCTGTCACTGCCCCCTGTGGTTTCTACCCCCAGGAAAATCTGCTCTGCAGAATGCTGATTGGGAAAGTTCTGGAAAACGTTGTGTGCTCTTCTACCTGGTTCCACCCAGCTCTGGATGCTACAGTCTTAGTGTCACCAGGAGCAGGAGGGTACACCCCGGGGCTGCCCACACAGAGGAGTTTGGGGGAAATGTGGGCAGCTGCGTGCTGGGGGGAAGGACAGAACACAGCACTCAGCCCACAGCAAAGATCCCGCGCAGCCCACATCGGCACTGAAGCCACTGGGGACAGAATGCTTGACTGACTGACGCCTTGGCATGGCCGGGGTTTGAGGGGTGCCAAACCAATGCAGGGGCAGACTCCACTGGGCCTCCTTCACCATGCTGATGCGGAGAAGTGATGTGTGAACCAAGAAACCCAGGAATTTTATAAACGGGATTTAAATTCTTCTCACTAGGCACTAACTGTCTCTGAGGCTGAGCGTGTGATGGATGTGTGCTCAGTGAGGGTGGCCAGGGCAGACTGAACCAAATATCTAGGGTGGCTAGAGTCAATCTGGAGAAGACTGGCCAAGCTTCTCGGAGAGGCTGGCTACACCTACTCAGATGAGAACCATGCTTCCAACACGCTGCTAGCTTCCTTACCTCGGCAGTAGGGGAAGTCGTAGGCTCCTGAGAGACACCTGTCACACTGCCTTCCCGTCACTCCAGGCAGGCACTCACACTGGCCAGTCACCGGGTCACAGGGTACTGGATAGGATCCAATGGTGGAGCACTGGCAAGCTGTGAGAAATAGCTTGATCAGACAATACAGGGTAGTGTCTGGGTGGGACCCCTCGGAGAGGGCCAGAAAGACATATTCAAGTTGCAGATTCACGTCTTTGATTGAACTAAGCCTCAGTTTCCCCTCTCTTAAATGGACCTGATACTGGCATCTACTTGCTAAGATTGAAGAATCCTTGACAGACGAATGATGTTCCTGCCATAGGCAAAGAGCCTTTGAGGGGGTGAGACCGAGACCATGCTGTCTGCTTTCATTCCCAGCAGCGTGTGGGCCTATCTGGGACTTACTCTGATAGGGCTTTTTAGTGTGGATGACAGTAACTGGCAAGTGTTCGGTCTGCTGTCACTGTAGCCATAAACTCACCAAGGGACTGGAATGAGGTTGGTCTCCTCATTCACAAATGACCTGGGAGTCCAACAGGCCATGCCACTTTCTCTGAGATACACAGTGGAGGCCAGAGAGTGTATATATCCACCATCTATGTCCATCATCCCAGCAGACAGCGATCAGCGTTCCACTGTACTTCCTGGTAGCATGGCTAGGTGTTGTGTTGCAGGAAAATATAAAAATACACATTCCTGATCTTGAATAGTTCCAGAAGAGGAAGTAGAGAATTAGTGACAGTGTGAAGAGCCTTACCCCACACAAAGCTATGTATGAAAAATGTGCCTGATGCCACTTGACCAACTGTTGGCAGGCACCCCAACAAGGACACGATACCTGGCTGCTGTCTCTATCTGGGTTCCTTCCCGGCCCTGTGGCCCCACTGAGCCTGTCCATCTGTCTGTCTAGGGCTCCTTCCCGGCCCTGTGGCCCCACCGAGCCTGTCTTTTTGTCTGTCTGTCCAGGGCTCCTTCTCGGCCCTGTGGCCCCACCAAGCCTGTCTGTCTGTCTGTCTGTCCAAGACTCCTTCCCGGCCCTGTGGCCCCACCAAGCCTGTCTGTCTGTCTGTCCAGGGCTCCTTCCTGGCCCTGTGATCCCACCAATCCTGTCTGTTTGTAGATTAAGTTCCTACTTGTGTAGATTCTGAGGAAACGTCCTTGCCCTCTGTGACTGTTGTTTTTATGAGTCAGCCAGGCCAGGCCGTAGTAACCAGATGTTTGATCAAGCACAAGTATCAATGTTGCTAAATGTGTTTTTCATATGAGATTAACATTCAAACCAGTAGACTTGCTAGACAGAGTATACATGCCTGTAATCTCAAAACTCTGGGAGACAGAGGCGGGAGAATTCCTGCAAGTTTCAGGTCAGCCTGGGCTATGCAGTAAGTTCTGGGCTAGCCTGATCCTATTATATCCCTTCTGTCTCACATACACAGACACTCGTACAGAGAGAGAGAGAGACAGACACACACAGGCACAGACACATGGACACACACAGAGAGACAGACACACACAGCAGACTTTAAGAAAATCAGATTATATTCCATGATGTAGCGAGGCTTTATCAAATCAGGTCAAGGCCCTTACAGAAAAGATTGTTCCCCTAAAGGTGTTCTGCCTACAAACAGCCTTTAGATTCAAACTACAAAAATGTCTATCCCAGGTCACTATTCTGCTGGCTTTCCTTACAGATTCTGAACCTAACAGCTAAATGCATAATTGTGTAACTAAATCAATCTCTCCTTTCTCCCTTTCTCTCCTCTTCTTCCTCTTCCTCTTCCTCTTCCTCTCTCTCTCTCTCTCTCTCTCTCTCTCTCTCTCTCTGTATGTTTGCCCATGTGAGGTGGATCAGTTTCTCTGGAGTCAAACACAGATTTTTGTTTCTTTTAAACTGTTACCAGTGCAGATATAGTCTGCTCTCTTGAGGGACAGACTCTGATGAGTGCATTCTGAGTTGGTGTGGGAGCTTCTGGAATAAAATGGCTTTCTAGCCTGACTACCTACAGAAGCATTATTGACTGTGTCCTTCAATGACAAGATCTGTGACAATCCATACCTTGGTGTGATAACACAGATGCAAACACATATGAAGTCAATATTCTAAGTATTTGATAACTGAGAGGGTTTTGTTTTGTTTGTCCACTAATGAGTAAATGACATTAGCTGGTCGTTTCTTATTGTGCTGCACAGAGTAAAGGCAGAACAGAAGAGTTCCAGAATTTGAATGCTCAGCTCACACACAGCATAAATGACCCCATAGCTTGCATGTCTTTCCCAGAGGAGGCCCCAATCTTCTGCAGCCTCCAGGCAGAGGTTACATGGAGGAGCTCTCATCCTGGACTGGCAGAATTACAAGACAAATCGAATTCTCAACCTTGCAAAGTATCTGTAGGAAGAGTCAAGGAAGGACAGGCATAATCACCATTGTCAACGTGGTGGGGTTTGGAACCACCTAGGAAGCACCCCCTGGGCTGTCGGGGGTCTTTCCAGAGAGATGTAACTGAGAAGGAGGCACAGTCTGAATGTGGGTAGTAACATCTCCTGTGCTGAGGACTCAACTGAAAAAAAGGTGTGAAAAGAGGAATCGCTGGGTATCAGCATCCATTTTCCCCCACTTCCTGACTGTGGATGCAATGGGAGCGGCCCACCCTGTGCACGCCTCCATGCCTTCCCCGCCATGATGGATGGCCCCCTCAACCGGGAGCCAGAGTAGACTCTTCCATCGGAAAACTGCTCGTCAGATATTCCGTCACAGCAGCAGCAAGAGTGACGGACAGTCTTGCAAGTTGGGAAGATCGGGATGCAGACAAGGACACTGAGCCCCTCCATCCCATGAATCTGTTTGTCAATAGGAACAGCCACTCTGCCAGCATCTGGGAGAATCACCTGTTTTACTTACTGAAACTGCAGTTGCCTTGAAGAAGTAGCTGCCTTGCAAAGGCTGAGATGCCACTCAGGACCCACCCACCACCCTTGTTTCCCTCTAGACTGCTTGCTAAACTCAAACCCCAATAAGCCCTAAAAGTGGGGTCCACAATGTGGCTCACAAGGAGGTGTGCTACATTCCAAAACAACCTTGAGTATGTGTTTTCCAATTTAAATAGGCCTGTAATATTATACGAGGATTCCCTCATATAATATCAATTATTATTATATTAATATAATATATAATAATAAAAAATATAATACTATTAATATTATATTAATTAATATTAATTGATATTAATTAGAAATGTGGGAACCAATGCCATGGAACTAGAAAACTTAAATGCAGGGCAGCTCCTGGGAGAGTAGGAGTCAAATGTCTGTGCCTAATAACCACCTAAATCAAGAAGGATGGAGTTACCATGACAGACAAGAGAGTCAAAGTGGCCCAGCAAAATCGACCCCCCCCCCCAGGGACCCAGGCTGTTGCTCGCCCACTGTGTGTCCCTGGACATGAAGCTGCTGGATTCTTACGTGAGCTGTTCAGAGGACCAGCTCTAGGAATGACAAAGACCAGCTCCAAGTGTAAGAACAGAAAATCCTATCCCAGTAACGAATTCCCAGATGAGCCGGTTTACAGCCCCCAGAATTCCTAAGTGATGGGGAGTCTAGATCCTTTTGAGGAAGGCGCTCACCACACTGCCCCACATTTTCAGTTCATCTCTTTCCCAGCCTTCTCCAAAGAGGTCCATGGCCTTTCAACACAGTCCCTGTGCTTGGGGGAAAGAAAGTTATCAGAACTTCCAGAGGTTATTGGAAGCTGGCACTGAACTGACACGAATTTTAGGAGACCACAAATGTCACCATGTCACTACTGCCCCAGTATGGAGGTCAGGTGATCAATGAGGTTTACCTCACATCCACCTCTCAAACCTGTCCTGTGGTCATTTCCCCAGTTCCAGAATTTATAGCTAGAATAGATAACCCATCAGCTGCCAACATAGTCACAGTGATAATGGGGAGGTCAAGTGGAGGTCATTAGACAGACCTCTGCAAGGCTCTCCAGACGGCAATGTGTGCCCTTAGTGTGCCCAGGATGTGATGTTGTTTCTCGAACAACCAGGATGCATGGGTCCGGGAAGCAAAGCATGGGAGTTGGCACAGCATCATCCCCATTATCTCAGGGACCCTCTTGGCTTCCCATCCTGTCCCAATTTGTGCTCAGTGGACCTATAGGCATTGGTTCCACAGAGAAGGGTGTTTCCACCAGGGAACCCACAGCCATTCCACTGAATTAGAACTTCAGAATCAGCAAAGGTGGAGGTGATCATTTTCCTTGATGGCTAAGGGGGACACAGGGCTGCTGCGCCACCACGGAAGGAAGGAGAACTCGTCTGGAGTACAGGCGATCCTGTATCATGTCAGGCAGAATCATGACCTTGTTATAGACTTTATTCAGAGATAAGGTGTGGTATAGAGACACGTGCTGTGGAATAATCCCTTTGTACACTATAAATATGTTATCGCTCTCATTGATGAGTGTCAAGGGAACAGGGGACCAACTGTGTCAGTTTTAGGAGCCATTCTGGTTAGGGCACAGAGTTCCCAGGTGTTTGGCTAGACACCAGGGAGGAGGTTTAGATGAAATTAACATTTCAATAGGCAGACTTGGGTAAAGCAGATGACCTTTCACTGTGTGTGGGGGTGCCACCCATTCCACCAAAATCCTCTAGAGGAAAGACTGAGCACTTCCTTAAGAAACAAAAAGCACTCCTTCTCCAGACATGTCTTCTGATCTTAGCGGGGGTGGAGTGGGGGTTTGCATCAGCTCTGCTCCACCCTGCCAGCCTACACTGTGGATTTCAGACCTTCCAGCACCCACTGCCCAGAGCCAGCCCCTTACAGTAAACCTCTCTGCACACACCCATGCCTGGTTGCAGGCGAAGTCTGGCCAGTTCAGGCTCGCTTTTCTGCCTCAGGGGAGTGAGTACAAACAGAAAGGGAGGGGGAAGGTGTCAGGGCAGCTGCCTGGCACACAGGGTGCCCCTCTACTGCATATGGGTGGCACAGACAGTGGCCCTTAGGGCCACGGAAGCTGCCCCAG